AGAGAGAGAGAGAGAGAGAGAGAGAGAGAGAGAGAGAGAGAGAGAGAGAGAGTAAGTGTAAGGTAATGACAGCGAGTCAATGGGGATTATGCATTTTTTCAAAACACGTCCGACTTGCGGAGCGCGCGGGAATCGCATGTCCAAGATTGCTGGCAATTTATTACATGATATAGGATCGCGATAACGACGAGTGTCCCGTTCTCGTTAGGCGTAGTCAACCGGGGAGTTACGCAATTTGCATAACGCTCATTACGACGCGACGGTCGTACGGGCGTGCATTACGCTGGCGATTGCAGTAATGCGACCGCGGGCCGGGGAGCATGCGGGGCCGACTCAAGAAAGATTAACGGTGACATTTGCCACATCGGCCGCACGTCGTGTGCGCAATGACACTTACTCAATTAGTCGTTCGTACAATATCTGTCCTTTTGGCGGCTACCTGTCCGCGTTTTGTTTGCAAGCGCTTCCAGCTCGCATGAGAGCAAGCGTCATTGCGCAACGCGACTGGCGATCGCAGTTGCGAATGGATTCTCTTCCTTCCTTTTTTTCTCTTCTCTCGTTGATGATTGATCGACAACGAGACTGTAAGGAGCGAAATGCAATCGCGAAAGTATGCCGCGCCGACGTTTGGCTCTGACTTCGCAGAGATGAGCGACGTCGCCGATTCTTTCGCGGCGAAGCGCGAACTGGAAAAGTCACACGCGGATATGGCTCCAAACATCCCTCGTGTAGACAATTTTTAGGAGCTTATGGTTAGGGTCCAGTTCGATTTCCAAAAGTAATTACGGACTCCGGGCCCGTATGGAAATTTTCCAAATGTCATCCATTAATTTTAGAGCGAACTTGGACAATCTAGTCGGAATCTGGGGAAATCTTGGGAAATTTCTGCGCGGTCCCTCTTTCCGCGTTTGCTGTCCGGCTGTCACTTCGCTCACGTTGTCACGACCGCGGCGCCGACGCGAACTTTGCTTTCTCGGGGCTCGAGTCTCGAGTTCCTCGCGAAATATCGCGCTTGCTGATGAAGTTGATCGAGCGCTCCTGAAGTTACTTAACGGTTGAGTTAAGTTAACTCCGAAAGTGTTTATCCCCGATGAGTGTAACCCGGGCTCTCGATTGAAATTGCGCTCAATTGTCGGTTGGCTTTCGACGTGTATCGGCTCACATCAAGTACGTGTGTGTATACGCGCATGTAGCTGGAAGTAATGTCTGGTGTGAGTAGTGCGGCGCTTCTTCGTCGTTAATCGCCAAGTATCATCGTCCTCGTCGACGCGATTGAGCGTGCAATTGCACGCCGCAATTTTCCGCCGCGGTCTGCGCTCGCGGCTCAAGATCATGTAGCGAAAAATTGCGGGTATATTCATTGCCATCGGTGTTCGATGCACCGTGCGATCGCGCAAGCCACGTGCGTTGCCGCGGGCTGCAATGCTCTCTCCCTCTCCCTCTCTCTCTCACTTTCCCTGTCTCTCTCTTTTTCGCTCACTCGTATGATACATCCGTTAGGTGTTCACGTGCGCAACACACTTTCCGCGCGCACTTTCTTTCAACAGGAGCTACGCGCTTACGCAACCGACCACGTCAGATGCGCATAAATGCGTTTCGCTCGCATATCTCGGCCACGTAACAAATAACGGAGCGCGTCGGGGCGATCTCGTTCGTCGTCGCCGGGCTGATTAGAAAACGGGTAGCCTCGCGGCTGAAGCGCAACTTTCCATCGAGCAGGAAAAATCGGAACAAATTCGAAGGGCCGTAGGATCCGAGCCTCTTTCTCCCCCTTTCTGCCCCCGTTTTTTTCTAACGAAACTTCTAACTTCGTCTGTGCACGTTGGCGAAGTTTGGCTGTAACCCACGGTGGAAATTACTCGACTCTTCCTCCTCCTCCTCGCGTCTTACCGTCGTACGTCAGAGACGAAGTCGACCGATAGAACTTCTGTCGCGGATCGAGCTTTTCGAGAGCCGTAACTGTAGCACACACCCGACCGGCAGTACATCTTTAGACTTCCCGTAGTTTCTAACATTTAAGCTGCCAGCTCGAGGGAGGTAGAGAGAGAGAGAGAGAGAGAGAGAGAAAGAGAAAGGGTGAGGGAGGGAGAGATAGCTTAAACTAATTCCTAGTTGTAGATTCAGGAGTGCAGTTTGTCGGTGCAGATGGCTACTTTGCTGCATTCCTCTGAGATTTAATTTGCTTCAGAGCATTTTCATTAATTCAAACTGCGCTTGTGTCGCTAACATAAGGTGCACATAGTGTCGTTGAGTATTAGTCTGCTCTGAGCGCGTATGAAACATTCATCGAGAAAGTTCTTTCTCTCTTTCTCTATCTAGGCGCAATAGCATCGTTTAAGATCGTCCTTCGTTAAAACAGTCCTTCGTTTCAGTGAATGAGGGAATCCTCGTAGCGCGCTGTATCGTGTTTCTAATCGGATTTAGCCCGAGGACATTTTTGAGGATTATTGTCTTCGCGCGGCCGCGTTTTGTTTATCTCCCGCCGGGAGTTATTGATCGGTGTACGGTTGTAATTAATTATCATTAAATCTCATCACGCGGTGGCGCGTCTTTAATCATAACGCGTTTTTCCCTTGTGCCTCTACGTCGCCCGCGTCGAGTTAAATAGGATTTCGGACGCGCAAATTCAAAAGAGGGACGTGTGATGCAGCTTATTCGCAGAAATAAATTCCCACGTTCCGCATTACGTGGTAAAATTTCCGTGGCAAAATTTCCGTGTACCGACGACTGTACCGCGGATTTTAAATATGCAATTATGTTCTTCCCTCTTTTCCCCTCTCCCGCTACCCTCTCTCCTCCTCCCTTTTTCTCTCTGCTTCCCTCGAGCGCGATAGTTCCGCGTTTGTTTATCGCAATAAAGCATACATTACGCAAAATCTGCGGCAGCCTGCCTCGATTATTATTAATGTGGTTGTCGATATTAATCAGCGTGATCGATTATTTCCATGTGTTTCATCGCTCGTAAATTTAGCACCAGCAATCTGGTTGCCTCGTAAAAAACCGATAAAATGCTACCGTGTAGCTTTTGCGCGTTGGGCCAAAACTTTAAAGTTCGCAGCACGCAGTTGCCCGAGTCAACGTGTCCCGCGCGTTTCGAATATCGCGTCTTTATCGCGAGACAGATTACTGCTTGAGAAACTTGCAGGTTGATGTTTCCCGAATTGTCCTCCCGTATAATGACAGGCAAGTATGTCGGGCGAAGTCACGCCTAAATGAATCGCGATGCGGATCGATCCGCTGGAAATCGGTTTCGTCCGATACCTTCCTCTCTTCCGCTTCCTTCCCAATATCGCGGCAATATCAACTTTGATATTAGCGAATTCGAGTTGAAGGAAGAGCGGCACGAAAGAGAGAAGGTGCGCGGGGGACGGAGGTGACGTAGTTGGCAAAGATGTCCGCGTTTACCAAAAGTACTGCGAGCGAGTTTCATAAGTTCTCCGCCGCGTAGCATCGTGTCGCAGAATGAAGTTTTCCAAGTTGCGTCGTTAGATAACTCAAGTGCTTTTCTCACTTTAAAATTCGCATGAATAATATTTTTCTACCGTTACTATCGGACGAATACCCAGCGTGCGAAACGACGTTATTTTCGCGCGCGCGAGTGGAAAAGCGGGGTGAAACGAAATTGCATCGAGCGTCGCGGCAATTATCGTCGCGACTGCAAGTTTCCGCGGAATTTACGGTGATATCGCGTTACCCGCGATCGCCGCGTGGAAGTCATACCGCGCGGCAGAGAGCCTACCGTGCCGGAAGAGAGTGAGCCAATCCCTCCGTCGGGCAAACAATTTACGCTCGGCCGTAAGCGGATTTTTAGATTTACTCACGAGAGCACGTAAAATTTGGGATCCCGCCAGGCGCAGTAATTGCTAGACGGCACGGGCTTCACCGTGACCACGTGAATCTTCGGGCCGCTCGATCGATAGGTCGAATTGCCCTCGCGCTCGACTCTATCAGCGCTGGCTCTTAGCATCGAGGTCAGAGATGCGCGGTCACATGTACCTGGCAGGCAGAGACCCAGAAACACCTGACGTGTCTGGAAAGAGAATGAAACGGCGTCGTTAGTGCGGAACGTTTCCTCTGTATCCCCTGTGAAAGTCACATCGTTAATAAACCCTCCACGAGCCAAAGGGATGTTCTCCCGATAACTCTTTTTGCTCTCGTCTCTTTAATTCTTTTCTCTTTTTCTTTCAAATTTTGCCTCTTCTCCTCTTATTTTTCTTCCTAACTACGCGGAGGAAATAGTAATATAAGTTTCCTTCCTCATATGAATTCTTGTCAATTTTACTGCACTGAGAGAAAAAATATCTAAAAAATAAAAAAATATTTATTCAGGGAGAGTACTGATATAACATATTTGCTTAAATCTGAATTCTTTTATTTAAATGAAATAAACAGTTGTTTTCGTGAAAGATTAAGGTTTTAAGAAAATTTTCTTATTAAATTTGAAGAATATTTTTCTCATACTAGCTTTTAATCTGGCGTTGCCTGGATTATCACAAACTATCAAGGAGATGAAATCAAGAGAAAGAATGGGTTTCATGATAGTTTATTTTCCGCAGAGTTCTAAAGAGTAACTATACAAAATTTCGTCCAGATCGGTCAAAAAGTTTAGGCGTTTATAGGGAACAGACGGATGATATCGGATAGACATTCTATTTTATATATATAAATTAGTACTAGTAAATATGTTACTAGCACCCATTAAATAAATATCTTTTATTTCTTAATGATTTTTTCTCCCAGTGTATGCTTCTACTAATATAGAGTGTCAGTAAGATATACCTAAAATATACCTAAGGAATATATTTAATTAGGAATATAATGTTTAACAAATATTATAGGGCTTTTATCTATCTATCTTTGATATTTTGGCGTCTCTGGTGGGAGGCACGGGTTATTCATAAGGAAATATTGATTCATCGAGTTAGAAACAAAGATACCGATCGTTTAATTAAAAAGAAAGGAAAAGAAAAGCCAAATCCGACGGAAAAATACACGTTGTCCATTTTTCGACTCGCGCGCGCTGCGCTGTTTACGCACTTTTGTAGGCGCGAAAAAGCGGCAAAGAGTTTAAACTCTCTTCTGGCGCGCGTAAGCTGGATCCGAGCGGTTGGTAATCTTCACCAGATCAAAGGGATTCGCGCACAAAAACATAGCGCGACGGCGGTGAAGGCGCTCGATATTTGCGATTATAATTTTCATGCGGCTGCGTCGATGTATCGATCGCGTCCAGTGATTGGAAGTTGCGATCGCGGAAAAAAAAACGATATTCCAATTTTTTTCGTCGACTCGGGACATGTAATCATTCGCTCTCTCGCACGCTCTTTTCTCTCTCTCTCTCTCTCTCTCTCTCTCTCTCTTCTTTCCTTTTTGCACGCGCGTCACACTATCGACAGAGCAGAAGAACCCTTTTTTTAGATATATCGATCAGCTCGAATTTAAAGGCTGGGTGGTTTCTGATACCTTTTACCAATTACTTGTGATAACCTCGACCTTGCGAATCCTCGGAGGGAGTCGAGCGTAAATTGCGAATCGCGATTCACTCATTCGGCAAACGCGATTAATTAACAAATAATGATATCGCCCAAGTTCGGGCGGATAATACGATTATGGTAGAGCAAGCACAGGCTTCTCAGTGTCTGAAATAGTGCTGTCTACAGGAAGGTGGAGAGAACTTAGTGATTTAAGTCATAGGATAATCTTATTAGTGCGAATGCCAAAACTTCTATCCCTGGCGGGAGTTAAACCGCTCCACCAGCTATTACTACACTACCGACTCAACAAAAACGGCCATTGACCTCGACGCGCACGATGTCTTCTGACGTCCTCTCGGTGAGTCGAGGCGACACTCAACCAACGGATGAATTTAAGTTGATTTTCACTATCCGTCTAGACGGCGCGGCAGACGGGAGTCCGTCGATTCTCTGTCAAAACATTCTTCAATACCTTTGAAACGGAATGATTGAGATGTGATGGTGACGGGTAAATATTCTAAAACGTTAAAAAGAAAGAGAGAGAGAGAATGTTTCGGCGGAGGATTAATGGATTCCTGTCTGTCGCACACTGAATCAGTGTAGTGTGAAAAAAGTGTTTATTATTCTCGTGACTATAATCACTGAACGAAAAAATTATGATCGTTTTTTATTATTCTCCATCATTGATTTATCATCATGATTGATGAGTATCATTTTTGTCAGTCACTGTTATTATACACGAAGGAAATTTTATAATAAATATTACTATAGGATTTTTGAGTGTTGAGGACAGATCGATAGTCCGCAGAAATTTGGTGTTCTTTCATTTCATATGGACTACTTACATTTTAGGAACTGAAACTGTTATTAGAAAAATTGCTATGTTTCTAGTGAAGCCTAGTGAAATTTGTCATGTTTCTGCAGTACAATCAATATATTTTTCACTGAAATACCGCATTTACAATTGATATTTAATTATAAATGTAACATTAATATTAGTAAAATCTCGTTAAAAGGATCAGTCGATAGTAACGACTGTTACTATTAATGATACAGTTTGCAAACGCAAATAGTGCCATCGCACGCAAATGACATGGAAGCCGTTAATTCCATCACCATAAATGCGGAAAGTGGAATTTCGTACAGCGCGTGCGTAATGAAATTATATACTATGTAATTTTGCAGTAAAATCTTACTTCTTCTGGACAAAATCAATTAAACATATGGAGCAGTAAAATAAAATATTCTTTTTACTGATTCAATCAGAAATATTTATACTAATTTATTTTAAGAAAGATTAGCGGAATTTATGTTCTTTACTAAGATAAGACCTTACTGACAGTCTATTTTTGCCCTATTAAAAATAAAGTATAATTGTAAAAAAAATTATATGAAAAAAAACTAGTATTCTCTCTCTCTCCGTGTGTAGTGTTAGTGATAATAATTATATATATATATTATTTCACTGAGAGAAAAAATGATTGATCTAACCAAATTATAGTTATTTTTACCCTCAATCTCAATATTTTTTATAGTAAAATAGCAGTAGTAACATGCATACAAGGTTATCATTAACATTATCGTAAAACTTATTAATGAAATGGTTTTCCTGATCATAATTATTTCTTTATATTATATTATAGTTACAAATACCGAAAGTTTTTTTCTCATTATACTATTAATATTTTCGTTAAAATAACGAGAAAAGAGACATTGGTATCGAAAATAACTATAATTTTATAGTTGAGATTTTCTAACAATTTTCTCTCTTAGAGTGTGAGTTTTTGACGTTCTTCCGGTATTTGCGACAGGGCATGTTTCCTTTTAGTCTTTAATATACTTCATTAAGAACTAGATGAAATACAGAAAATATTGTGTTACTCGACTGCGTTCGCGGATTAAATGTGCTTGCGTCAGAGCCGTGCTCGCAATTGTGTGTCGGACGTGCGTCATGGATGCACATCTTGCGTGCATCCATCTTATGCGCGCGACAAAGTGCCTAATAAACGCCGGCTATGCATGCGCGTTCGCGGATGTATGCATGATCACGTCCCTCGTCGATCTCGCGCCGCTGTCATCGTGGCCGAGCACGGGATTTCGTTTGCGCTTTGACAGTTATCCAATGATACATAGAAACAAATGGTTCGTGAATAATCCAATGGACACGCGGTTAACATGCCACGTCTCTCGCGACTATTCCGCCCTGACTTCCGCGGGCGCGCGCGAGCGCGCGTTTAATTAATTCTCGCCGATGCAAATCGCGCGCGGCGTGAGTTCTCTCTCTCTCTCTGCCGAGATGATGAAACACTACTCTCATCGGGCTAAATACAGTAATCTGCAAAACGCGCCATAATTCGCGCCTCACGCGGCGTCTATTATGCGTCACGTAACGATTGATAGGACAACAATCGGAATGACGACACAATCGCGCCATGAGACATAGCGCTTGTGATGTAAGCTTAACCCTATGAGTGCAGTGCACTGAGGACGGAATAGTGTGGGCTGTCATGAGTCGGTCAGTGAACGAAATTACTTAAACGTCGATATGAGCAGTACAGCCAAAAAAATATAATGATCTTAGCGGAATCCTCTTATATACATTACAACCTCAAGAGGATTCTCCTAAAACCAAGAGAGAAATAAGTATTTTAACCCGGAAAAAGAAGTCTAATTGCTATTTCCTGTAATTCCATATCTTAAGCGAAAACTCTTGTCGAAAAAATATTCCTTTTCTCGTGAAGTAAATTATTAATTGGAAATCTACTAGATATTATCTTAAGAACATTGCGCTTGGAATATTTTATTTTAATTTCAGAAGAATTTTCTTGAGCCGATCGCTGAGAGAAAAATACTTGAAAATTTATTCGTGGGATATACAGTTTATTTCTGTAAAATATAGTTTATTTCTGTGAAATAAAATTGATTTCTGTGTATAAACTTTATATCTCATAAATAAATTTTCAACTATTTTTTTTCAATGTATATAAGTTGATTCTGCTAAAGATAAAATTATGCTTTTTTGGGTGTAAACTGAGACGAATAAAATAATTTTTTTATTGCCGTCTCTAAGATATATAAAAGAATATAACTGCTTATCACGATAGTTATCAGATAACTTTTGCTTATGACGAGAGTTTGACAAGCCAAAAAAAATTTATAAAATTCTTAGTTTTATTTAACTAAATTCAACCAGATAAAGACTCGGGAAGTAGCATCTCTGTCAACGCGGCTGGAAACGTTCGTTTGGACATTGAAGCCTCCCGCAGGAGTCTTTCTATTTCTATAACCGAATTTTCATCTGGTCCGCAGACAACAGGAAATTCAGTTACACGAATTGAGTTTTTTTGCCGTGTATATATGCATTCGCAGTCCACGCCGGTGAAAGTTGTCAAACGCATGTGTGTACCCATAGCACTCAAAAGGTTCAAGCACTTGACGATAAGTGCTCGTGTGCGAGTGCCATCGTCTGCCTGCTCGCGTCTCGCGGAAAATTGTTTCGCGACTCACTGAAAAATCGACCTCCTTCGGCAGCGTTAGATACAGCCTCGCGACGTGAAACCTCAAGGGAAAGGGTGACTGCCGGCTCTCCTCCTCTTCTCCCTCTCCTTCCGCCTCGTCGTCGTCGATTCCCCTCGCGTTTTTTTCGTGGGTGACATTGAGCTCCCTGCAGAGGGTACTCGAGCCCAGCCAGAAGTCGTTACCAAAATAGAATTGCGAGGAATAGCGGCCGCTCGCGTCCGACACTGGAAAGAAAAGCCCGAGTGAGACGGCTGAAAAGTAATGTCGGTCATCGAGACGGAACGTGGGAGATAAAGCGCGTCTCGCTGTCAAGCGGGCTTTCGTGTTCTTAAGACCAAGGGTTTCTTTCTAGGTTCCCCGGGATTTCTCGTCATCGGTGACGACGACTATAGAGACTGTAAAACACGACGCCAAATTCGCCGGAACACGACGTCACATACGAACATCTAACCTTCTCCCGGGAATGTGTACCGTCGAGGTCACGAGACGAACGCCGGACGCTGCGACTTGTTGAGATCCTTTTATTAGGTTAGCGCGAAAAAAGTTTATTATCAAATGAACAATTTAGAAAAAAGTACAAGAGTCAGCGTTATTTAGTAAAAACACTATGTGATACAGATAAATAAATTGATAAATAAATATCAAAAAGTCGTAACGTTAAAATGTTGCCAAAGGTAGAATCTACAATTAAAATTTGTAGCTAAAATTTTAACTTTGACAACTTTGGCAAACTATGTTCTTAATTGCGCACATAAATGTTTTAGTATTATAGCTTTTTAGTATTTATATTTATTCATTCGTATATTTATATCAGTTTTCTCAATAAAGGGACTTCAAACAATCGTAACGTTTTACGTGTGTAAAAACAACATTTCTCTTTTTTATACAAAATATTTACTCCAACAGAAATGCTAGCTTCGACTCTAAATTGTTTATTCGATTGTACATGTTGAGAATCTGTTTATTTTTTATATAAAAGATTCATTACTTTTCTTTTAAATTATCCTAGTTTGTTATCGTAGTAAATTTGGGTTTTGAAAGGAAAACAAGAAGTCCTCGTTAAATATCAAAAAGAATAAAGTCAATGTTGTTTATTTTGTCCGTAAATATTGTTAATCCTCTGAAATTGAGTCATTTCATCTTCTATTTTACTTGGCAAACGCGACAGACATTTCGCACCAACGTAACGCATCCATTGCAATGTCGGTCGCAACGCTCTTCGTGACGATGATAGTAAAAGTTGATTCAACTTTTACTCGTCGGGCGTTGCGACAGCCCAATCAGGAGCGTCAACGGCATAAAGATTGAATTCTCGTTTGCACAGCAGCTTGCATTCGTTTTTACCCCGATAAAGTTCGGAACGCAGCCAATTTTCAATGTGCTTTTCGGAAGATAAGTTTTCTCATTGGACATCGGCTGCCTTCCAAATCGTGTCGGATAAAACGTTATGCAAACAAGTGTACCCTGGATTTCAAAACGGTTTGAACACTTTCTTTTCAATGCAGTTTGGAGTCGATGATCCAATGTGAAAGAACTTACTTTTGATTAATCTCCAGAAGTTGTCTCATAGGCGTCCCAAACTGCCTGAGACGAAATTTCGATCCTACTTTTGACCTTAATATTTCAGTGCCTGCTTTGATACTCAGAAGTCTACATCAACTTGTTTTTTATTTTGTTTGATCTATTTTGTCGGGAGGAAATCTTTAAAATATACTAATAACATTTTCTATGTTTTCTGCCATTTAAAAGCTCTAAGTAGTACTTCAGTTTCCAATGTGTATTAAACATATATTGATCCTTCAGAATATACAGAAAGTTAGAAAGTTTAGATCGAAAATAGGGCTAAAATTTTGACTCGGACCGGGAAAATATTCAAACCTCATTGAGAAAAACCAAGTGTACCACTGACGTCTCTGAAGTTGGCGTCGCATTTGTAATAGTTGAAGTTAAGCCAACTTTCGCGATCATCGTCGCGACGAGCGTTGCATCTGCTTGCGACTGATATTGCGATAGATGTAGAAGGACCTTTATGTAAATGGTCCTGCGTTTTCCTCGCCATTGTCCTTTCATTTTACGCGCTCGTTGTCGTCGTAGTTTTACAACCGTCTGCGCGCTGAAGTTTCATCGTCTCAAGTTCCCCGAAAGAGCCGATTACATGGCTGCACCGTCGGCGGAGGGTTCATTGTCAGTTACGTAAAATGGCTCGTGCTGACCGCGAGAGTAGAAAGCGCAGCCGGACAGGCCGCGTGCCATGCACGTCGTGTCGGATCGCCGATCTCGCCGTCAACAGGCGACACTTGCAGGAGTTCGTGACGCTAATTCGCGAGAGTGACCGCTTTAACCGTGATAATTGACATCAAATATAACGCGAGTACATAGCGGAAACATAAATACCGCGTTCGAGTAAATGTGAAACTTGTTTCAAATATTTCGTAAGTTCATATAACCATAAATATATACTCCAAAAATAATAATCTTATACTTAACGGAAATCTTTTTATGCATAGACTCAAGAGGATTTTTGTCAAATCAAAAGAGAAATATTCTAATATCCAAAGAAAGAAGTTTAGTTATAAGATACTATTTTCTGTAATCTTATATTCTAAATGAAAACTCTTATGGAAAAAGTATACAGTATATTTCTCTTCTAATAAAGTTTCTAATGAACTATATTAATCGGAAATCTACCATATGTTATTCTGTTTTCTCTTTGAATTAAGAAGACTATGTTTACTTGATACAGAATATCCTCTTACTAGAAGAAATTTTCATTCAAACTTGTAGACAAAGGTTTTCTAATTTTAAGAATATTGTGCTTTAAGAATATTTTAAGAATATTTAACTTTAAGAATATTTTAAGAATACTGTGCTTTATGAATATTTTCCTTTTGATTTTAAGAGAATTTTCTTGAAATTATATATAAGAGGATTTCCATTAAGAATAAAATTGTATCTTTTTAAATATATCATAAGTTTATCATAAGCTTATTTCAAATTAATTTAAAATAAATTCCGAATCCTATAATAGGAAATATATATTCAGCATTCACAAAATCAAGAATATTTAAAAAAATCGGCTTGTTTGCTACATGAATCAGCTTTTCCGTGAATAAAGTTTTATAATATTTTTGTAAAGAGAATAAATTCTTTTTTCTTATTATTATATGATAATGGGCTTTTCTCAAATTTGTAATGAATATATTGCGGGACTATTATCTTTATAAAATATTTTTGCTGTAGTTGAAGTGAAGAATTGATCTTCTTATAGTTGAAGACAACTATAGCTTAAAATGAGGAGAATAAATGATCATTTTAACAATAGAATATTAGCAATTCTCTCATTGCACAGAGGTCTCATAGGTTTGATAGTTTTTTGTAGGATGTGAACCATTAGGAAGTAGCGCGATCGGTTGCTCCCGATATTAAACGGTGATATCTTTAGCCAGACGATTTCCTGCCGGCGAAAGTCAGATCGGTCTGCGTAATTTCAATCTGCACCCGTATGCACGCCCAATCAGTAAGAGCCATAAAGGCAACGTGATACTGTTCGGGCCATAAAGCCCGTCGCCACGTTGGAATTCGCGACAATGGCGTAACGTGTCCAACTGATTAATGGTACCCCGACTTTACGAATATAATGACTCGCCACGTTGCGTTATGACAGCCGCGAGATAGAGACACCGAAGGGGTTTGCACAATGTACCCCGTGGAGCATTTGGAAATAATTCATCGCAACTCCGCAGCAACGCGGAATCGCCGATGCAACTTTTCTTGCCCGACAACTTGATAATTGCCTAAGTTTCGCTCATTATCGTCGTGTATTTCGCGACGCGCGTTGCGCTGACGCAGCCGTCCGTTCCCGTCAGCACGTAAATGTCGCGGACCAACGTGCTGGTCCGCGCATTTTTCCGATGCTTCTCCGCGAGTCGTCTGTGTGTGTGCGCGTGTGTGCGTGTGATCATTTTTCAAAATTTTCCTAAACGCTTCTAACGACATCATTATCGTGCCACGAGCCGTCCCGAAGTGGTTGTTAATAGCGTCAGCGATGAAAAATTACTTCCGATAATTAGCGTCGCTTTCTAAGTGCAATTACGGCCCGCGTCTCGTTTTCGAGCCGTGTGCATGTCCGAAGCATCGCCGGCGCAAAGACACGAGAGTCAGCTGTCCAGGTGTCGCGTGTCGCGGCCTGCAGTTTCGTAATTTTCGTCGGTGTGACACGGCAATCGGCATCGGCGCATCCGTCGGCGTTATTACCGCGGATATTGATAATGCGGACGAGGCGCGTGACCGGAAATCACCGTAAATCCGTACATCGCGGTTTGTAACTATGTGATGTCCGATGCGGCTGTGCGAACTCGGCTTCCACTGGGTCGTGTCGAATTCTCCGGCCGCTTCTCGAGCTTCGCCCGTTTTCTGTGTCATGGGTAACGATTAAGAGCCATAACTCGCAATTACTTTTCAGTTCTTGATCATCGATCATGTTAATTATGCAAGATAACAGAGTGCAAGTTGCAGAGATACACGAAAGGAATGTTACGGTAAAAATTACGTCAAATTTATATATATTTTTCCTATTTTTTTTTTCTTTATAAAACTAGGCTGGAGTTGTAACAGTTGTAAAGGACATTATGATTGTTTCTTTTTCATAAAATTTCTTCTTAATTTTGCTATGTTTCAGGCCAATGCAGAAATAGATTGTCAATAAGATCTATTTTGCTAAAGAACATAGTAAATTTCGTTAGGAATATATTCAATTTTTTAGTAGCATATTTCAATTTGTACAATATAAATATAAATGAAAATATAAAATGTAAATAATATGTATGAAATAATAAGATAATCAATTACTGTAGTATACTATGATAATTTTTGCTATAAATTTCCGTGCAAACATAATAAATTTGACAATCTCCCTGATATACGATATAAAAAAATATTCAAATAATTAATAATATACAAAAAATGATATATGAAAAGCATCCAAACAATAATATGTTGTACTTGTATAATATTTCGAAACAAATATATAATAATTTCGGTCATATCTCTACAGTTTAAGATTACAAAGTTGTTGTATTTTTTATTACAATATTTTCTCCGTATGTCGAAATATTAATATTGAATTGTAATAAACAATTTTGGATTTTCTTTAGGAAAATCTATTGAAGAATCTGAAATTATTTTTTGTACAATTCAATATGATGCTCTTTCATTTCACTTAATTGCGTATTGCATTCCTATCTGTGAAATCTGTCGGTATAGGAGCAAACAATGATCTCATTGAATTTACGATGTCATTGAACCGCGAGAAGAGCTTCCGCGAGGGAAGTGGAATCTAGACGGTGAAATGTCGTAAGGGAAATCCTGCTCAGCCCGGTTTGTCAGTCCGGGATATTAGAAAGAACGAGAGATTCCGAACAGCGCGTAATAAATATCAGCTTATCTCTATATTTCGCCGATTTTGATCTACGATCAAACATTTATTCGTCGAATTATTGTGAGTGAGATAAAAGTTTATTCTTATATTTCTTCCCATATGTAAAATTTCTAACCCTGTGATTGAATTATCTCATGCGAAATTTATGGTATAATGCGATAAAAATGAAATACAAACACGTGCAGGAGCTTACAGAAAGAAAAAGATATTATTCTTTGATCGACATGAGAAAGAGAGAGAGAGAAAAGCTACCCTTCCTCTCTCTCACTCTCTCTCTCTCTCTGTCTGAGATAGAAATTTCGAGTTACGATAACAGCAACGCCTCGCTTCGTGCTTCAACGAAACGTCGTTCATTATTATGTTAATATCTCAGCTCTCGTTTGCGTGTCTTCACTCTTGATTTTCTGCTGAGTCCTGCCGAGCGTCATCTTGGAAATAATGGCGGCCAAATTCCATTTCCCTAATGTAACATCCGTAAGAAACGCGCGAAGTAAAGATTCGTGAGTCGCTGACACAAAGTGTCAGAGGATACATTATATCAAAGCCGGGAACTAGGTCAGAGAGTGCTTTGACCATTGCGAGATTTCATGAAATAATGGCGTCTTTAGCAACGCGTTCGATCAAGCAATCGTGAATTTAACTGAGCGAATGTTTGTCGATTTCCTCTTCTCAATATTCATTGATCACGGATATATCTCGACGTGCGATTAATCGACTTGTCCTCAAAAATTGGATTTTTACCATAACACGAATTTCTTGAAATCAACTGAGTTATTGTTCTCGGTTTGCAATTATGTTCCGTGTATTTCTGTGCATTTCCGTGCATTCGTCGCGTTGGGACTCCGCAATATTACATTTTTTATTCGGTACGTGTCAGAATAGAATATAATTCCAGGATATAATTTTACCTTCAAATAATCTTTATTTTCAAGTAATCTCCGAGAAAAAATTAAACTTTCTCCTCAAGTCAAATAATTGAAATTTATTGCATCTCAGGTCTGTATTAATAGACGTTACTTGAAACTTGTCTCAGGTGAGATACACAGATTTGGATTTTGAGTTAGATATGAGTTTTTCAGCTAAATTACGATTATAAATATTATGTCACATATATTATATAATTTAAATAAAAAACTTAAATCTAACTCTAAATTCAGATCTGAATATCTCATATAGAGTAAGTTTCAGTTAACGTCTATTAGTTATGATGAGCCTAAAACTCGTATTAATAGTTGTTGAAATATTTCAAGTAAGTACATAGTACTCGGAATTCAGAGTTGGATGAGAGTTTTTCAATCAAATCGCGGTTACACAGCGATCACATATATTATACTTCAACTGAAAAAACTTGAATTTAACTTTGAATAAAAATCTGAACATCTCACATATGAGACACATTTTTGAAATAGTAACTATGTGGGCTTAAATTTAGATCTGAGTATTTCATCTGAGATAAATTTCAAGTGACTATTAATACAGATCTCAGTTATTCGAGTGGGAATATTTTATTCCGACACAAGTTTTTGCGTGGGAAAAGACAGGCATCTGGAAAAAGTTTTGTATTCTAATCAATCGCATACTTACTCTTCGCAGCCCAAAGTTTTCCGTCCCTCAGCGCGTCGAGGAACCGTTCCATATCCCTCTTGCATTCGTGCTGAACTTTCCCGGGCACTCTGACCCATCTGAGAGGATCGTAAAGATCGGCGAGCCACTGTATACTGTTGGCCGTTCTTTCGAGTTTCTCCTTCATGAAATCCACGTCGAAATCCCGGTGCTTCTCCTCGCTTTCGTCGAACGTTTTCAAGTAGTTCTTCCAGTCCAACTCCGGATTGTTCTTGTTGAAGGCGACTGAGGACGCTCGCTTCCTCGACTCGTCCTTGCCCTCCGCGTGTTCCGTCGCGTTAGAATCCGCCATAGCCTTGATCGTCGCGATTTTCTGCGGTTTGCTCAGCTTGAGGATGTTGGACTCGTTCTCCGCGATCGCCATGTGCGCGATGCACAGCGTCACGAGAAGGCAGTTCAATGCACGCGTCATATTGTCGCCGTGTCAGTGTCGTTAAGAACGATCACCTCTCTCAGAAAAATTCGCTTGCGCTCTGGGAAAACGATCGACTAGATTTTTGTCCAACAGCCAGGAGATCTCAATCTCATCGATTTCTATCGTTATGGTCTCCGGATATCGTCATCTTAATAGCACATTTTGGTAGACGGAACGCTTCCCGCGGCGGCAATGCCGGTTTAACAAGTATCTACACGCGCGGATTCTCGAACATACTCGAAAAGATACGCGGGCGACGTCGAGTGAATATCAGGAATTCGGAAAATCGCTCTTCCACGTGGCGCACTGAGTGCTTGCTGATTTTGGCGAATGCTCGTTTCAGCGAAATCGAGGGGCTACGCCAATGACGGTCGAGAACTCGATCGCGAGTTGTTATTTCAATGATAAAACGGTAGTTATATTCGAGTGGGTGCAGTTATTTAGCAAATAAAAAATATTTAATCGAAACGTCAGTTATTTTCACAGGCTTACACTCACGCGATGTGAATCCGCAATATCTTCTTCGAAAAGTATTAGTTATAAAGTCCCGGAGGACACTCCGCGATCGGACGCTGATTTTCCCTTATCACTGATTAACGAGCGCGAGAGGAATCGCGGTCGAGAGTCCTGTCGAGCAAGGTGAAATGTGTCCGCACATATGAGACTAAGGATCACGTACTGAATGAAGCGAATAAAGTCTGCGACGGCGTTCACCAGCGGACAGTAGGTTTCCCTTTCTCTTGGCGATGCACTTTACCGCCGTAAATGCATTTCCTTCCCCGAGTCGCGAAGAAATGTCGTACCTCGGCCGGTTTTTCCATCGCTCCCACCCCCTTCTTCTCCCCCTCCCCCTCCTTCCCGCCCCCGTGGATTACCTGCTACAGATCGGGCGTGACTATGTAATCGCGTAACTAGCGGGCCGATAACGGACGCTATTAGCGATCAATCGAATGTCGCCATTATTTCATGTTTCTCATGACGAAATACATTGATACGATACGCATGTTGAATCTCTTATGTTTCTTGTTTTCTTTCTTTTTTTTTTTTTTTTTTTTAAGAGAACGATACTTCTCGCACGTCACTGTCGATAATCGTACACTATCGTGATGGAGTCGTGATTTCGCGGGAAAGTGAGCGCCTACGGTCGGACGCGCTCCACTTACGATTTATTAATCGACCTGTGAACGCGGTAATAACAAAGGATGGCGTGTTATGTAATAATCGCAGTTACACAGGCGGAACGCCTACGAAAAGTTATGCGCGGTTGTGGCGACACTGCGTAAAGATGACGTACGCTCAGTTGCAAAACGGTTTCGATCAAATGAAGGTGCAACGCTTCTGATGAGCCACTGTTGACGTGCATTCAACATGCTGTCAAATAATTTTACTTGTATAGACTACCCGACGTTGCTCGGGTTATCACACTGTCACGGGGATGAAATCAGAGAGAGGAGGTGTTCAGGTTTCGTAATAGCCTGTATTTCCCGCAAGGTCCTAGAGAGTAACTATGCAAAATTTCGCCCAGCTCAGTCAAAGGAGTTTATAGATGGCACAGTCATTTTATTTTACATACATATAGATATAAAAATTACTTAAGTAATATTCCCTTAAAAAGAGAAAAGAGAAAAATAAATAATAGAAGAAAATAAAAAAAAAATAATAGAAAATAATAGAATAAAGTAAATTTTTCTTTCCAAAATAAAGTCAACATTAGTAAAAGAACAATTGAGAGTAAGATACTTTTCTTGTTTAATTGTCTAGTTAGGGAGAACGAAGGAGGAGAAGTGATTACATTGAGAAAAAGATACTTCAAAATTTGTTTGTGATATATAACATTTATTTTCATAGAGAGAAGCAAATTTATTTCACAGAAATAAATTTTATTTCACAGGAATAATCAATCTTTTTCTTTCACTATGTTTCGCTCTCTCTTTTGTGTCTTTCACAACGTTCCCTCTTAAAGTACTACGTGACAGAGAAACTATTAGACACAGCGCATCTCTGTCCTTTAATCATGTCATCAGTCGTTCCAGTAAGAACGCTTATTCTTTTCTATAAATCTGTATTGCGTGTGCACATCAGTAGTGGCTCTTAATTGTGATAATATATGAAGGACTGCAATTTCGTTCGATGAAAAATGCGCAAAGCGGCCTGCGATCAAGCGTACTTATCCTAGATTCTTGCCACGATAAAAATGCAGCTTTTAGCGCGCGCTCGTCGTCAAGCCAGGCGCGTGACGAGAATGATTTAGGACAGATGCATTACGCGAGATAAGAAAGCTTTGTTAACTTTTTTCTGTTTTTCCCTTTTTCTTATATTGTTAGATAAATATGGAAGGAAGCGCGAAGTAGTAAAGATATCAATCAATTTTCTCTCTATTTAATACTTGATCTGGACAAGTATGTTTCAAGTCATCTAGTTGACGACTAAGCGAAATCAATCGAAGAATGTTTAATTCAGAATTGACTTCAACGAATTCAATCCAAGACCGTTCAATTGACGACTGATCAAGATTATTTTTAATTCGTTTTGTAGATAATATTCATCGTGACATCGTGGAAGATATCGATGATTAAGAAACATTAAGAACGCGCGTTGAAGGGAAGAGGAAGGGCATCAATCGTCACTGAACAATATTTAATTGAATTGATTGAATTTGCTCATATTATGCATTAATTAAACGAACTTTAATTAAATTTGCTAAGTTCAATCACCAAATGAAAGTCTTTCATTAAATTTGCTAAGTTCAATTATTAATCGAACGATTTTTAATTCCTTTCGTTCCCATCAATTGTCATTTGAACAGTGTCTGATTGAATTTGTTGAGATCAATCGTCTGTGTCGAACGGTCTTCGATTTGTTGAAAGTGATGGCCAATTTAACGGCCTGCGATTGAATTGGCTTAATCGATAATTAAACACGATAATTAAATAAGAAGAAATTAAGAAATTAATTATTCGCAATCTTGGAAGGAAGCGGAATACAGTGCGCGATTCGGGAAGTGCAGCGCGAGGGAGAACAAACAGCTATGTACACGTGTAAATTAGAGGGGCAGCTAATTGGCAAACGGATTGTATGGGTTTTCATTCTTGACGCGTGTTAGCGGCTTGGAAGCTATTTACATGTTATAATGCGCCAGCTGCCAGGTTTCTACCTGTTACCGCGTGCCAGGCGTGCAGAGGTCTTCGTCCGAGAGCGGTGCAATTATAACCATCCCGATAATTGTTGTTATTTCTTAATTATTACCATATAATTACTTGTTACGTCCTCTTTATCGTTATCTGAAAATCGTTCGTTCTCTCGATCGTTTCGCGTTAACAATGTCGTGTTACGCCTTTAGACACATAACACGTTAAAAATTTAAATCACTCAGTGAGCGTATGTTCAGTGCGTAGCGAACAAGAAATTGGGATATGTATGCGTTCAGCGAGCGAGACAAAGAATGCAGCATATGTCGGATAGACGGGTCACTGGAAGCTAGAAAAATCCTCCAGAGAGATTTCTTCTTTTCAACCAACTTTAAAAACAAACTTTTAGTGGACAACTAAAAAGTACGCAAAATAAACAATTTTAAAAATAAACCGCTTTCAAAAACTTCAAAAAGCCTATAAAGTGGAAAATAATTTTGAATCAATATTCCTGTATTTGCAATTCTCTTCTGATACTCTAATGATATTAGAAGTCGGCAAAAACAAGATTACACAAATTAGATAGGTACTAAACAACTGAGTACACAACTATAGAAAAATAAATAATAAAAAGGCTATGATTGTTGTCAATCAGTTAGATTTTCACGCTGATTTCTAATACCGTTAGAATATCAGGTATATAGGATTGTATGTTTATGGGTATATGGATTCACAATTATTTTACACTTTCTAGGGCTCTTGAGCTTTTTGAAAGCGATTTATTTTCTTCCAAATTTTTTTTTAATTTTATCAAAATTATCCTAAAAGTGAAGAAAACACGCTGGGAATGCTGTTGACAACGGTAAATTCATATAAGACTTTTCGATCTGACTTGTTCGCCCAAAATAATGAAGGTAATGAGGAGTTAAGATGATTGATCCCGGCAAAGAGATTGACGGGAGATAGGAACGCGTAGAGCGAGTGCCAACACATGTGGGGGAGTCGGCGAGACAAACGTGGAGACAAGGCGTTTCCTTCAGATAACGTGGTGCGGAAAATGGAGAAAAAAAAAGAAACGAGCGGGTGCTGGAGGCGAAAGAAATTTTTCTCCCGGGAAATACTTGGCTTAGCCGACTGTAAACAGGAAAAATACGAGCCAGATATCTGGAAGCAAGTGCAAACTCTTTCAACGTCGTCGTCGACGTCAACGACGTGCGTCCGTCGCGCACCTTATCGATGTCCGTGCTGTATGTGCGTTTATACTTTCGACTCATACGAGCTCTGGCCTACCTCCGGTGCTCGATCCGTGTGCACAGGTGCAGGACAAAAGAGCGTGCATTCGCCATGTGCCACTTTGCGTGTGCGATTCTCATTGCTACCAGAGGAGAGCCACAAGGGAGGGATATACGCGACGAGAATAATTTCAAGCGCACAATCACCGTACTCAGGGTGATAAGCTGTCCCTTCTGTACATGGCACGCTTTACACGCGTTTTATTTTCCTCCTCGCGTCGCGACGAGGAGTCGACAAGGGGCAGCGCCCGTGTCTCGAACGCGACGACCGTAAAATGCACGACGTCGCTTCGCAAATCGGTTTTCGCCGGATGAAGCTTCCGGTCACTCCGTCGCGCTGCAGGTCGAGCCCTCCATGTGTGGGCCCTCTTCGCGAACTGTTTCACACTGAAATAAGTAAAGTGGACCCTCATCGATTACCGGAAGGTACAACAAATCCGACAACTTTCTACCGCGATGTTCGCGCGCGGTCGAAAGTTTATCCGTCTCGCTCCGGAAAGTTTCAACCACGCCGCACGCGCGCGCGCGCGCCGGCTATAAACCGGCTGCCCGGCCGGGGAAATACTTTTAATCTCTCCATTACGCGCTCCCCCGGGTGTGCTTCAACATTAATACTCTCCTCCTCCGTGACTTGCGCCCGTAATATGAGCGCTACTTTCGATCTCGCGAGTATCCGCGAGGAAGCAACGACGATACCCGCATACGATCGGTGCCGTCAGCGAAAATTGAATAATCGGACGCGATGCGTTTTACAGACGCATTCACTTTTATTTAAGATTTACGTAAGGTTAACGCGCGCAAAATTGTGGTTGCCAGGCGAGTTTTAGCGACGCGCGATTTCTCTCCTCTGGTCTGCCGGGCGATTTCCGCTCATATACGCGCAGCGCGAAGCTCAAAGTTTCTCCGAATTTCTCAGAGACGTCCCTCTCTTCCATCTGCGTGCTCTTTACTCTCATCTCCTTCCCTTTCTCGGAAACAACGTCTGCTGGCGAGATCCGGCTGCGGCTTATGCAACCGAGCTTTCTACGTGATCGACCACGCGCACGCGGCTACCAACCGGTCCTCGCTCTCAGGAAGCGGGAGATCGATCTCGAACTTCTGCTCTCCTTGCTTTCGATGCTTCGCGAAAGTATTTGCACGTACCGCGAGTACGATGGCATTGAGCGGTCTCTTTCTCTCATACCTTTCTCTCTTTCTACTTACCTCTCCCCCTTCTCTTTCTCTCTTTCAGGCCACCGATATTATCAGTGATTATCAAGATTGTATAATAATGGTTCAACCATGCACCTTGGAACATTCTTTATCTCAATTTGAGTAGACTGCTAGATATAATTGCGCGATCGCTCCTTCTCGACTAGAAATTATCCTATAGTGCTGATCAGGTTGATCCCTATTAGTTATCTGGTTTGTATAAAGTGATGTTATCGGATCGTGATCAATCATGCAGCGTAGCGTGACAATCAAGATCTTATTAATAATAAGGATTATTTATAATTGGGACCTTATATTAATAATTAGATCCCTATTACATCACCTTAGAAGGAGGAAATATTTTACTAAAAATTACGTTAAAATTATATTTATTTTAACAATATTTTTTTAGCTGGAATATACTGAAATTGTAGTATAAAATTACTATACTCTGAGAGAAAAAATATCTAAGAAATAATCTAAAAAGAAGAAGAAGAATATCTAAAAAATATTTATTTACAGTAAGAGTATTACAATAACATATTCATTTATATCAAATATTTTTTTAAATAAAAGAATATACATTCTTAATACTTTTTAGCTTTTCATGGAAGCAATTATTTGTTCCATTTAAATAAATTCGAATTTTAATAAATATGTTATATTAGTATTCACCAAATAAATTTCCTTTATTTTTCAAATATTTTTTTCTTCGATATAGAAATAGTATTTTGTGACCAAAATAGTATTTTGTAAAATCAATAGTAGTTAAACGTGCATAACATTTTTCAAATGTTTAGTGGTTTTAGTAAAAATTCTATAGTTCAAGAAAAATTATAAAAATTTTGTGATATAATTTTTTTACTACAATATTTTCTCCGTATATATAAATTAGACTTGAGAACTTGATTAAGATCATGGGATACATTTCTAATTGGACTTCTTCGAATATTTCTTCACGCTTTCTTCGTGCAAGTCTGTGACATTTTTCATAACTTTATACGACCGATTTTGCTTTAAATTGTATCGTTAATTAATCATTCATGTTTTTTTCACGAGGAACATTTAGGGAGTATATAGATTTTTCCGTCGGCGTCGACTCAGCGATATAAATTCCTTTGGCGTCACAGAGAATGACATTAAACTTATAAGAGCTCGCGAAATAAATGGGGGGCAGAATTTTGAATAACTGCGGATTGTCCAGGAGTACCATGTATCAAGGAGAATCTGCGATATCTCGAAGATAAGTAGCGCTCCGGGGAGTCAGCTATGCTTCACTCACGCGCGAATTTATCGCATATTTCACGTATAAGATCGATTATTTCTGAGAGACGCTGGCGATGTTTACGCTCACTCGAGATTAGATATCGAAATCCTGAATTTTAAAGCACCATGAATTCTCCAGAGTCTACAAAAACGCGAGAGTTTGTCTGCTTTATATCCAATATGAAATTAAAAAACGAAACACGGGGTAAAAAAGCTAAAGCTTAAACTAGCACCTAACACATAAGCACGTGTGTTACACATATATATAGTTTGTCTTGCAATGTGGGGCCCTCGACCAGAGGGAACAATTAAGAACGCGTCATTGTAATTATCTGTAGTACTACTTTATGTCGAAACTCATGGGAGAGAATGTTAAGCAATTCGTTCACATGTCGGTCGGATTGTTACGTGATAACAATGCGGATATAATGCTAAGTCTGCACACACGGAAGTGAAAGTCCATGTGTTGAGGGAAAAGCTCTCCCTCGTCGTTTCACAAGCGCGCCTTTTCGCGGTATCTTCTTCTGACCGACGTCGGGCTTGAGAATTACTTGAACGGTAGTCGGTAATGCAAATCCCGTTGCACGTGGCGTTTCTTTTGTCGGTAAAACACGTGCGAACTGTAGGAAATCTTACGAGGAGGCGCTCTGCAAGTGTTTCCAGAAGTTATTCATAAAAGATATCACTAAAATTAGCCTTAACACGAACCTGCTTTTTATCATTTCATCAGAGCAAAAATATTTTTTCAAACATCTTTTCTCGATCTTACACGATTCTGCACGCGCACGTTATATTTTATACTGTTTCACAATGTTTATCGTTGCAATAAATAATTATTAATTAGTTAACAATTAATAAATTAACAAATTATAATCTGACTTGTATGTAACTCGATGGCAATATTTTTTTTTTTTTAATTCGTGAGATATTTTGTTATATACTCGCTTGCGTGAATGTAGATCTTACATGACAATATGTCTTAATAACAATCTAATTGGGCTAAAAGAAAATATTCTATATTTAGAATATGGAGTATCGTCTTATAGAGTTTGTACGAGAACATCTCACAAGTCAGGATGGCCGAGCGGTCTAAGGCGCTGCGTTCAGGTCGCAGTCCACTTCTGTGGGCGTGGGTTCGAATCCCACTTCTGACAAATCTTTTTTTCTCGTCTTCGACTAGAACAGCTGTAGGATTTTTTTTTCAAGATATATTTCACATGTAAATCTTCATATATTATTCATACGCTGTTTCATCCTTTACTTATCGATCGTCAACGGACGGAGGAGCTATTTTTATTCAACATATCTGCACGATTCTTTAGTGGTATGTCCACAAAACAAATGAACTAAGCCAACGCTGCATTTGTGTACCGAGTATACAGACGTCGCGAGGTATACAAATGTGCACCAGGGTGTACTACTTGTCTCGGCGGGTTTGCCTTGGCGACGACTTCGTCGGGCATCCGACGTCGTCGAGCGGAACGCCGTTCATAGCTGTGGGCAGTGGATACCGTTGGTGTCGCCTGTCCACGGACAGATTCCATCCAGCCCCTCAACGCGATGGAGGAGATACATTATACGAGGTCTTTAAACGGCAATCGTACAAGCAGGCAACCGGACAGTCGAATAGAGTATAAACGAGCGTTATTCAGCGCGCGTTAAGGCGTCGAGTGATGCTGGTCGATATGTGCAATCTGAATCCTATAAGGCTAGTAGAAATGATAGTCCTGTATCAAACTTGCAAATTTAATCAAACTTAAAAGAAGAATTTTCAGATGAACCATACGGAGAAAAGAGTTTGGTTATAATAACATGAAGTTGGTTATAATGAACGCGAAACTAAACATTCTAATTAAAGAAAACGGGATTTCTGATAATTGGAACCGAATTTCGGTTATAAAAAATTCCATGTTTCTCGACCAAAATGCGCGTTTATTTATTAAAACCCCAAACTTCACGTTAATACGACTCAATTTCCTTTTTTCATGCATCATGCAGACTATTATCTTTTGATGCTACACACAAACGGTTATTTATTACCGTTTTTTCTATATCGAAGTCTAAACCTAGGAATTATTTAATACTTGATTATTCCCACATATAATCCTATCTGCATTAATTGTTATATTCCAAATTTTAATAATAAATATAATATAATAATTGAATATATATTTAATATATAATATATATAATAATACATATAATATTGTATTATTTAAATGAACAAATGGAACAAATTGTTATCCTGTATTCTAAATTTTAGAAAGAGAGAGAACACGTTAGAAATTTTCATAGAATTTAGAGAATGAAAGGGAAATGAAAGAGAAATAGGTGCAAAAAAATCTGCTACTACATATCGCATTTTGCGTTCAAAATATGTATACTGAGAAAAAAATAAATGGAAAATTTATTTGTAGAACAAAAGTTTATTTCACAGAAATAAATTTTATTTCGCAGAAATATATTTTATTGTACAGAAATATACTTTGTATCAAACAAATAAATTTTCGAGTATTTTTTGTCTCAATGTACCATCTGTTTTCTTCATACATTTCCTCAGTCGCGACAGCTCTGGCTGTTTCGCGTCATATTTTGAAAGCACCTATTGTTGTCATTCTCCGGTTGCCGTTTCATTCATGGCCGGGCGCGCCGATTTTTTTTGTTTATTTATGCGCGCCTTGTATCTCTCCTTGTCCGCGGCATAACGTACCAAGCCGGCGTGCGTAGCAGATGTGTCGCGCGACGAATTAGATATTATTCTTAAAATATTTCCTCGGGTTCTCGTCGGCATCGCGCATCATGAACTCGCGGTTCTCGAAATCGAATCGTACGTACGCGAGCGCGAGTGTCAATGTCAGTGCCACGAGTATGCATCTGGAGGAGCAGCCGGGACGAACGAGAGACACAGGATGTCGGATGTAGACAGCGCTACGTCATGTATCCTCAAGTGAGTATCGTTTATCACACAGAAAACTTCCGATTTTGATTGACGTTTGATGAGTTCGCCGCGAATGAGCCAACGTCTGAGTCGAAATTCGGAATTTACTCTGGGGCCGGCATTCGTAGTTTGTTATTATTCGATAAACATCGTATTTTGTATAATCTTATTTTACGAATCGGCGATTATTCGTTGATCTCTGTGCTTGTTTCGTATGACAGAGAATAATCAAGTGCCTCACGAATCACGGTCTCCAATGAGTGACAGGAAATTTATGCCGCTTTAAAGTACCGTACATTCTTATTAATAACTGCAATATATTTGTTCTTTTACCTTTTCTTGTTACGCCAATAACAGACGTGCGGAAAAGAAGCACACACATACACACATATATATAATTATATTATATATACGTAGCTTCCACAATCTTCTCTTCAACGCCGCTTCAGCGGTTCTTTAATAGAATCGTGTCGATCCTTCATAAATGGAGCGGAATATACGATGCGTACGTGACAGTTGATACGAAAAACAGAAACGCTCTTATAACGTCTACGTTCCAATATTATATTTGACGCGTATCGTGCTATTAGCTCGTAATCGACCTTACCTCGGACTGCAATTAAAATTGACGTCCACGTTGATAGAGCAATTTGGTTCTTGCCGCGTTTGGAAGAATGCGGTACGCCATTATCGTACATTACACTTTGCGGTTTATTGCGATACACAACGATTTAATCATGCGCTTCCTAGGTCGCGGGCGGGCGTCTTACACCGTGAAATTATTATCGCAATAAATAGCTCCCTCCACGTATCACTGCTTTTTATCCCCTCCCCGCCCGCGGTCCTTATTTATGATTTTATTGATTTACTATACTCCGGCAGCCGGCGCAGCCTTGCCAACGCGCGCCAACTCGGCACTGGGAGCCCTGGGTTAGCGGAAATTGTTAATTCTTAGTACCGACCAGCCGCGTATTAGCACTGATTACAGTAGTTTCAGTAATGACCGAGCTTAAAGATAGGGAGCACCAACACACGCGCTCGACGACGACGGTGGTGCGCGCCGCGCGCGTCCACGAGCAATATTTAAATCGAGAAACGAAAACCATTATTTTCTCATAACGGTATCGGCCGTTCCGTTCGAGGCAATTGCGACAGCGATCGCAGGAAAATCGGGAAAGAGCAGCTTCGCCGAGCGGGAGGTCCGTGCCGAAAGCGATGCGGAATTAAGGATCGCGGGGGAGTGTGCGCGAGACGTGAATTGCAAGAGAATGAGAGAGAGAGAGAGGGAGGAAGAGCGAGAGAGAAAGAGGAGGAAGGGGGAAGAAATCCGTGAAGAAGCCGTGAGCAACGAGAAGTGGATAATGCGAGAAAATGGCAAGAGCGACGGGCGAGAAGGCCGAGTGAAAACGCTCGCGCGCCGCTGAAGAATCGCGACGGGGAATCGCGACGTTTCACGGTGGATTCATCCGTTGAGATTGAATCTCGTCTTGATTCCCGGTTCGTCTTACTCGGTTTGGTTTCTTGTCGGCTCGTTGCCCCATGCTCGACCGTCGTCGTCGTCGTTGTTCCATTTATTTTGCACGTTGCATCTTGCGCCACGTCAAAAGAGAACACTCCGCCGCAGGCTTCTCCAACAGCCGACACCCCCCGGCAGGAAGATGTTTTCAGTAAAAACGTCAAGTAGCCTGTCGGACGAGCCGTGGAGATGGAATCGTGTCGAATTAAACGGACGGGAACGAAACGTCAGCGAGTGTCGGCAGACTAATGTGGGGGATCGATCTATTTATTATGAGCAATTTATTTCCTGGCAGAAATGCATGCAATTTGCGCAGACACTTGTCCAGTTATCGTTCAATATTACTGCGCTTTCATCAGTAATATTGCTGAAAAATCCTTTTCGGCGACATGTGCGTTCCAAATAACGGTTCATTTGAACGAGTTGACACGAAGTGTCAGGACAACGTGAATTCGCGTAACAGTCGCTTCCGCAGAATGTTCCGCTGATTTCTCGTCATTGACCGCCATATCGCGCAAATTCGCGTTCAGTCGCGGTAAACCGGCGATCGCTCGGAAGTTGCGCGCGATAGTCGACCTTTTTCTTCCTCAAAGCCACGCTCTATTTGCTGAAACTGCCTTGAATTCTCATTTCGCGTTTGCTGCTTTCTCTCTTTCTCCCTCGCGCGCGCGCGCGCATGCTGCGTTGTCCGCGTTTGGCGATCTAGGATATGCGACGCGCGAAATGTGAAAAAGCGCGATGTCGCTTAATCGGGCCGAGCGAGTCTTGATCCGCCGGATGCATCCTACACGCGCCAATTTATGGTGTTCTCGCGGCGGCACTTCGGTCTACAAATTCGTCGGCTGCGCGCATTCACGGCGCATTCGCGGCCCCGTTTTCATCCTCGATTCACGCGCGGCCGCGAGGATGTGCTCTCTCTTGTGTCAAGGTAACTGTACCGCAATATCGCAGCCGTTCCACATAACGACGCGCGCGATCGGTACGCCCGATAGACGCTCGTTGTTCCTTTTGTCCCGACCGCGTGGCGGAGGCGCTCGCAAACCGCGATTAGGTGCATCGACGCTGCGGTTGTAACGCACGCTCGCTCGCTCGCACCATGCAGGTGCTCGCCGCTGATAACAGCGGGTCCCTCTCGAACTCGCGGATAAGAGTTTTACGGCGCTCTCTGATAAGAGGCACTGCCGAGCCGCAGTCAGTCAGGGTCGTTTTGAGGCCCTTGCAGACTCCGCCCGCTGTGTCCGTAGTTATGGCGGACTGATAACACGCTTGTCAGCACGATAAGGCTTATCTAGAGGCGGACCGACGTGAGTGACCGCTAATTATATCGGCGAGACTTACGCAATCGCGTCCGCCGCGTATTTCGCCGATCGATACTCAACGTGGCTCTATGAGCGGACTCTCGCACAAATATAAGGAGATTATTCAAATGATTCCAAGCATCTCGCGTAAACGTCGGGCAAGTTGTGTCTCTCGTGGTCGATTTGTTTCGGGGTGTAATTTAAAGCGGTACCGTTTTAATAACACACGCGGACGGTAATCGCATTAGTCGCGATAGCGGATAAGAAAGAAGAGAGAGAAAAGGGAGAGAGGGAGAGAAAGAGGGAGAGATATGTCGACGATTTATATGTCGTTACATGAGACGAATCGGCACGCCACAATATCACGCGTCGTAAACGCATCGTCGGTATATTGATCAGAAATTCCAGATTACATCGCTCGAGCGGATTCGCGTCGCACCGTTTGTAATTTCTCAGTCGTGCGAAAACCAGTCGAGGATTTCTGGCTTCATCAGCCGCTTCTTTCCGCTGTCGCTATCGTTCGCTCCAACGCCATTTGCATTAATACGCGAAAGTGTTCCAACAACTGTTGCAATAATGAAATGCAACGTGAGAAATTCTTTTTTCACTTTTAATATTGATTTCTTTGATCCTCTTTTATTCTTGATTACGAAATATCCTATCCTTTTTTATTGTTTAATTTGATTACAAAATTCTTGATTCTTTTTTTTAATTCTTGAACTTCTTTACGAAATTCTTTTTTTTTATTCTTGAGCTTGATTTCTTTTTTAATTGTTGAACTTTATAACTAATAATAATCGATATCTTTTTCATTTCTGAACTTGATTGAAGTTGCTTGACATTATTGATGGTTCTGCAATTTCCGAGTTCTAAACGATAAACAGCGATAACCCGGTACAACTCGATGATCCGTCGTGACTCACCATTCAGGTGACCCTGTTAGATCGACTCGATTCTCCGAGAGTCTGCATGCGGTACCAAATCCGAGACGATTCGGTGATAGTCGCGATTGCCACTATGATTACTTCTGTTATCAGCGCACTGTTCTTTTGATCGTTTTCCTGACGGAGAGAGGTTCCGCGTATCTCGGGATAGCCGTCATCTCAGTGATAAGAGAAATTTTACGCCGCACGAATGCTGCAGTTAATGATAAAATATTTTATATCGTGAACTTCTGCTTATCAGTGGAATATCATCATTATGTAGATCGCATGAGCAGTGAGACGGAATTAAGTCGGATAAAATTATACCGCCATACACGATCAGAAGGAAGAAACGAAAGGAGGAACGGCACGCGATTAGTACGCGCGTTCTGTTATCATTACGAGCGCAATTCAGTAATGCTTTTGGATCCCGTAAATGGCACGCGAGCGAATTCATTTCCGCCCCGGGGCGTGACGCACGTATATGCACGCTCTATGCAAAACCGCGCTGCTTCTTTTCGCGCTGCTCCTTTTTGCCGTAATGTTTCAAGCGGCCTTTTACCCGCGGGCCACTGCCAACCTGGCGTCGACGAATTAGAACGATTCCGGTTGACTGGCGGTCTCGTTAACAAAACGATATCGGAAGCCCGACTTCGGTGTCCCGGTTAAACCGTTTACGGGCGACCATAATAACGGTTACCATATAAGCGAGCGCGTGCATACGACCGACACCTAATTCATGAATGGTCATGAGGGTCGTGCTTAATCGCCTACACGCGAAGAATCTATAACACGCTCCGTCGCGACCAACGTTCCAAATGATTAATGACCATTCAATTAGAACGGCGCGAGCGGCCAGACTGATATCGTGTTTTCGCGTTATCGTTTGACGCGACGCGATGATTGAGTGACTCGCTCTCGTCGAATTAACCCGATAGCTCCGCGAACATTTAGTCCATGTCGCGCGGGGGATTCTCCTTCGTGAACTGTTGGATGCACAAAGTTTTGCACAAATTTGGTGCAAAAAGACTACGAAATTAAATGGTGTATATTTAGAAGAATCTTCTTACTTAAACGACAAGATTATGAGAAGTAAATACTATTATTATTGTTGTGGTTTTAATTTGAATCTTTTGCGAATTGAGATTTATCTCCCTTGCAAACGTAAAACTCTCTTCCAATTCCAACCACTTTTTCGTCGTCTTCATCTTCGACAACTTGTTTCTCAACGGCTACGGTGTCACCCGTCGCGAATATCATCGACGACATTAT